AATTACATATGTGCTGTCAGTAATCAAGTGTAGGATTAAACATTCCTACTAAATATGCAAATAAAAAACCAAGGCTTGTGACTATAACCATCTCAGAAACCTGTAATGCGGCTAATTTCAGACTGATCTGTTGACTGGCTGCTAAGGTAAGTCCGAATTACATCAGCATACTCTTTCTGCTTCACGTGAAGAATATCAATCGCTTCCCGCAGATTTTTAACCTCCCTCTCCATCATATCATCAATCTTAGGTAACTGGATGATAGCATCTGAGAATCACAAGAAAAACAAAGAACCTATAATCAGTACATAATTCCTCATGCACTTACTCCTTCAAAAATAAGTGTTAAAAAATGAAAAAGTTATTGTATGAAATTAGTTTGTCCAACAATGAATTTACAATTGAACCTCTGACCTTCGGAAGATATCTTTCCATCCAAAGTGTGGACTATGCTCTCTGTTTTTTCCCTATGAGAATAAATGGTATGTTCCAAGAGTTTTAACAACTCCCTAGTAGACGTATGACGCAAAGTGAGAGCTTCTTCAACATATTTAGCAATTTCATCATTGCCATTAGCTTCTATAGAATCTCTTTGTAGGAGTCTACAAAGAAACATCTCCTCCGCAGAACATGATGGAATTGAACCTGAAAACACACTGGTCAATCTAATCTATATGATGTGAAGAATAAAATAAAATGAACACTAAGATTTTGATTTAGTCATCAGAAAAAATTAGGAAAAAACAGATGAAGTAGCATAAAACAACAGATGTGCTGTAAAATACCACGAGAATAATCAGCGCCATCTAAAATTTGTAAAGCATTTTGGCTTCCTCCAGCACATAGTCCAAGAAGAATTAAATCATCAACCAACTGGATAGCAAAATAAAGAAATCACCATCAGAAAAAATTACATGTCATCCTGGTGGACACAATTGAGACCATGAAAAGGAAGAAAACCCAACTACACATTTAAGATAACCTGATTCCATATTTGATTCACTGTGATTAGCATTTCATCATAAGAACCTTGCTTATCCTTTAGTTCCTTAATTTTGGCTTCAAGATCTTGCAAATCATGCTTCTGTTTGTCTATTTGCTGAAGAAGTCTCTGGTTCTGGTACTGGAGAACTGCTGCATCGACCTGGGCACGTATAGTACGTACACAAAATACCAATACATTTCAATCTACTTCCTATCTCAAATCAAAATTGAAGTGTACTTGAAATGCATTGAACTATCAATGCGCTCATCTAAATGCATGCCTTTTTATGAAATAGAAAACTAACTTCAGAAGTGACTTCATCAACTTAGAGATTAATAATGCTTTACTGCCCCAATTACATAATTAATAAACAGAAACCCTCTAACCTACACCCTATACTCCAAAAATTCCAATTCTGTAACTTATGTCCCTTTTCTTACACTTCCTCAACAACCAAACAGAGCATAGTACAATTTTTCACATTCTCAAAAGCACATCCAAAGCAGAAATTGCCCAAACTCCAATCACCCATCAATCACAGTAATTTCAAAAAATAAAACACCTTTTTTCTTAAACCAAAAAATTTGATCAAAAGCATTTTTCCGTCAGTAACCAAGCAGACTGTAAATAGAGAGAGAGAGGGATTACGCTATGGTTATTGGGTGGAGAAGTGGTGGAGCTACGAGCCATGGTGGGCGAAAGTGAGTTTAAATGAGGCCTCTTCTTCTCTGGCTCGTCAGAGTCTGAGTTTTCCATTTATCGTTGTTATGGTGCTCTTTACGGAACCCACCGGACCATTACAACTCTCAGGTTCCGAGCTCTTTCTGTCAAAAGAAAAAACCCTAGAAGGACTGATAGCGTTTCCGCAGGTACGACTGGGAGTGGGAGAGAGAGCTCGTTGTCGACACGACGTCGTTGAGAGATCACAAGGAATTCATTTACTATCCGTGCGGTTATACTATCGTTGAGAGCTCACAAGGAGTTCAGCCCCAAAAAAGGTACGTATGGCCGCGCGGCTGTACTATTTTTAATAAAAAAAACTGCATTATAGCCGGGCGGCTATACTATTTTTATTAATACTAGCCTCTTTGCATGCGCTTCCGCGCCTGCGAGAGGCTTTTTTTATAAAAAAAATTATTTTAGAACTAGAAAAGATAATGAGTAGTTGTGTTCCATAAAAACAGGATCCATTATCTGATTTTTCTTTTAATTTTAATTTTTTTTAATATGAAAAAGTGTGAATTTACCATATTATCCTCATTTAATTAATAATTTCAACTCTTAATGTTTGTATTAACCAAGGGCATTTTCTGGTATTTTGAATGTTTCACCATTCTCTGCCTTTTGCTTTATATATACAGATAAAACCCTGTGTATCGCCGCGCGGCTATACTATTTATAATAAAAAAGGACAACGCCGGGCATCTAGCGCCTGCTTTGCCATGTGTCAAAAATAGTATAGCCGAACGGCTATACGATTTTTAATAATAAAAACCGTAGTATAGCAGGGTGGCTATACTATTTTCATTTTAAAAAAAACCTTGCGTATAGCCGCCTGGCTATACTACTTATAATAAAAAAGACCACAGTCTGCGCCTTACGTCTGTTTCGCCACGTGTCAAAAATAGTATAGCCGACTGGCTACCCTATTTTTAAGTAATAAAAACTTAGTATAGCCGCCCGGCTATACAATATTTATTTTTAAAATACCCTGAGTATAGCCGATCGGCAATACTATTTATAATTAAAAAAGAGTGCTGCTAAACGAACCCTAAAATTAACTGAGCGCACCCTACTACCAAATTATTTGTTGAATTACTAATTTACCCTCATATAAAAGGACCAAAAAGAACATAATGACCATATGTTAATAATAATACAAATGTATTTTCTATTCGTACATACAATGAGCTTCATTGGCCCATCGTAGAATCTGAAAATTATATTCTAACGTCTAACAATCAGTTTTCTGGTCTTGCTGGGTTGAGCGTCTTCTCCAAATGCCTTTATTGGGGTTATCCAAATGCAGACTTTCGACACCTCTGTTAGCTAGGAGAAAACTTTTCTATTTCCGTTTTATTGCTCCCCGTCTCCATCTCTCTCTCCCTCCTCTGTTAGAGCGATCGTAATTCATTTATTGGAAAACAGGATTGCGGTTCCAAGCCAGTTATCAGGAAGGTTGCCTTTCAATTATCCACTCAAGGCCCTCAACTATTTACAATTTATACATCGATTCCGAGTTTCACAATCGGCTTCGCATATCTTGGTTAGCTTTCCACCTGTTGTATCATGGGGTGTTACACTAGTTTCAACTGTCGACATTACAACCATCATCAATATGTACACCATTTAGATAAACACTGCTACAAAGGACCCCTTCAGTTATTGTAATGTTAAAACTGAAGCAGTCTTGCTCACCTTGCTTGTTCATGTTCTGAAGTGTTGGCTTCTCAATCGACCAGCTCCCATCTTCAGCCACAGCTGCAGTTGAAACTTTGGATGAGCCAACGCAATTTGACAAATCAACACAAAGTTTCATTCATGCACAAATCCAGTCCTTACCAATTTCTCTCAAGAGTACTGCAACCCAAAATCGGAAAATAGAGCATGAATAGAGAAACCTGGCTTAGGATTAGGGTGTTGTGTGATAGTGTATAAAGGTGTTCCAGGGGCATTTTTGGTAGTTAACTAGGGTGTACTTAGTTAATTTTATATTTTGATTTAAATATTATAGTGTACGTAGATCATAGGGTGTACTCAGTTAATTTTAGGGTTCGTTTAGCAGCACTCTTCTTTTAATGGGAGTTCATTGAAAATTTAAAGGAAAGAAATCAAATTTCAGCAATAAAACTCACATTGCCTAGCCCGCCTAGGCGGCCGATTTTTGGAAAACTTGAATGTCGTTTTTTTTGCAGATTTCTTTTTTCTTGGCGGGTCTGGCATCTCTGCAAATACATCAAACTAGGGTTTTAGCGACTCATATTTATCAACAACATAAAGGCATCTGTGAAAATCAGCAACGTGCCACGCCTGAAACCTTGGATATTGGCAGAGGTGGGGTTGGGCCGTTCATAACTAGTGTCTTGTGGGGGGAAGGGATTGGGTGAATGTAGTGTTATTAATGTTGTCTATGCCACAATCCAGGCTGCATCCCTCAAAGAAAAGATTAACCGAATGTTTGGTGGAGAGCATGGCCCATAAAGAGTGGCAGTATTCCGTTTCTGAAAAATATTTGTGGCATATAATTCTTTTATTATTATCAGAGGATCGATGATTCGGCTCTAAGCGTATTCTAATAATTTGTTTTCCTCTGTATGCAGTCTTGCAAACGTTGATCCTATTGATGTTGCCAGAAATATTGCAGGGTAAGCATTAAGTTTATTTTTAGGTAAGCATTTAGTTTATTTATATCACTAAATATTGACTGTTGTAATCTAAGTTCTATGTGGGGTTTCTTATCGTTCATTCATATTCTTTTGATATTTGCAGTTGTGGTAGTTTTGAAGACCTTTACAACAGCTGAAACTATGTTGAATGTTCAAACCCTTCGGGAATGGATTTC